CACGTGATCATCTCAATTAATGCAGAAAAAGTATTTGACAAAATCCAACACTCTTTCATGATAAAAACGATCAGCAAACTAGGAATAGAAGGGAAATCCTTCAATATGATAAAAGGCATTTATGAAAAACCCAAAGCAAACATCATACTCAATGGTGAAAGACTGAAAGCTTTCCCCCTAAGATCAGGAAAAAGACAAGAATGTCCTCTTTCACCACTGCTATTCAACATTGTATTGGAAGTTCTAGACAGAGCAGTCTGGCAAGAAAAAGAAATTAAAAGCATCCAAAGTGGAAAGGAAGTAGTAAAACTATCTCTGTTTGCAGACAACATAATCCTATATATAGAAAATTCCTAAGAGTCCACAAAAAAAGCTACTAGAGCTAACAAATGAATTTAGCAAAGTTTCAGAGTACAGAATCAACACGGAAAAATCAGTTGTGTTTCTATACAACAGCAATGAACAATCTGAAAAGGAAACCAAGAAAACAATCCAATTTATGACAGCATCTAAAAGAATAAACTATGTAGGAATAAATTTAACCAGGAGGTGAAAAACTTATACACTAAAAACTGTAAAACATTGCTTAAAGAAATTTTAAATAAATGGAAAGACATCCTGTTTTCACAGATTGGAAGACAATCTTAAGATGTCAGCACTACCCAAAATGATCTACAGATCCAATGCAATCTCTTATCAAGATTCTTTTTTGCAAAATGGAAAAGTTGATCCTCAAAGTCATACAGCATTGCAAAGAGACCTGAATAGCTAAAACAATATTGCAAAGAAGAATAAGGTAGGAGAATTCATACTTCCCAATTTCAAAACATACTATAAAGCGACAGTAATCAAAACAGTGTGGTACAGGATAAGCGTAGACATATTCTAGAGCAATGGAGTAGAATTGAGGCTTCAGAAATAAGCGCATATATCTATAGCCAATGGCTTTTTGACAAGGGTGCCAAGTCCATTCAATGGGGAAAGAACTGCCTTTCAATAAGTGGTGCTGGTCTCGGGGGACATCTAGCTCAACTGGCATAACATAGTTTATAAATAAAATGTTCTACATTCTACTTTGATGAGTAGCATCTGGGGTCTTAAAAGCTTGTGAGCTGCCATCCAAGATACTCCACTCGTCCCACCCTGTCTGGAGCAAGGGAGAATGAAGAAAACCAAAGACACAAGGGAAAGACTAGTCCAAAGGACTAATGGACCACAACTACCACAGCCTCCACCAGACTGAGTCCAGCACAACTAGATGGTGCCCAGCTACCACCACTGACTGCTCTGACAGGGATCACAATAGAGGTCCTGGACAGAGCTGGAGAAAAATGTAGAACAAAATTCTACTGGAGAAACCCTGAGAGTATGGCCTAAGACACCCAGTACTGACGTCACTCCTAAGGTTCACCCTTCAGCCAAAGATTAGACAGTCCCATAAAATAAAACGAGACTAAATGGGCACACCAGCCCAGGGACAAGGACAAGAAGGCAGGAGGGGACAGGAAAGCTGGTAATGGGGAAGTCAAGGTCAAGAAGGGGAGAGTGTTGACAATGTCATGGGGTTGGCAACCAATGTCACAAAACAAAATGTGTACTGTTTAATGAGAAACTAATTTGCTCTGTAAACCTTCATCTAAAGTACAATAAAAAACAAAAAAAGGTGCTGGGACAACTGGATCTCCACATGCAAAAGAATGTAGTTGGACTTATGCCTCATGATATATAGGCAGTCCTCAGGTTATTAACAAGATTTGTTCCTGAGTGTGTCTTTAAGAATTTGTAGGTAAGTCGGAACAGGTCCACATGGTTCTTATTTAGCCTTACTTTAGTGCAAGAAAAAGCTTGAAGCCTTTTCAATGATTTAAAAGCTACACATGCAGCAAGTGAAGGTGACTGTGATGAAGAATTTGTTGTGAGTAGGGTTGGTCAGTCATTTTCAAAGTGAGGGCAAATTTATGTAACATTAAATAGCAAGTACGAGTTGTCCGTAAGTCGGATGTTCATAACCAAGGGGCTGCCTGTATACAAAAATTAACTCAAAATGGATCAATAACCTAAACATAACAGCTAAAACTGTAGAACTCTTAGAAGAAAACATAAAGGTAAAACTTTAAGACAACAAAAATAGATAAATTTAACTTTATGAAAATGAAAAAAACATGCATCAAAGGATTTTATCAAGAAAGTGAAAATACAACCTATAGAATGGGAGAAAATAGTTGGGAACCATATATCTGATAAGGGTTTAATATCCAGAATATATAAATAACTTTATAACTCAACAACAAAAAGACAAACAACTCAATTTTAAAATGGGCAAAGGATCTGAATAGATATTTCTGCAAAGCAGATATACAGATTGTCAATAAGCACATGAAAAGATGCTCAAGGTCATTAGTCATTAGGGAAATGTAAATCAACACCACAATCAGATATCATCTCACACCCACTAGGATGGCTATTATCAGAAAAATGGAAACAAGTGTTGGCGAGGATGCGGAGAAATTGAAACCCTTGTGCATTGCTAGTGGGAATGTAAAATGGTGTAACTGCTACAGAAAACAGTTTGGCAGTTCCTCAGAAAGTTAAGCATAGAATTACCATATGACCCAGCAATCCACTGCTAGGTATATACCCAAGAGACTTGAAAGCAGGTACTCAAACAGATACACGTACAGCAACGTTTACTGCAGTATTATTCACAAGTAGAAAAACAACTCAAGTGTCCATCAACAGATAAACAGATAAACAAGATACAGTAGATACATACAGTAGAATATTATTCAGCCATAAACAGAAATAAATTCTGATACATGGATGAACCTTGAAAACATTATGCTGAATGAAAAAAGCCAGACACAAAAGAATAAATATTGTATGATCCCACTTTTATGAAATATCTAGAATAGGCAAATGCACAGACACAAAAGTTCCTTAGTGGTTACCAGGGGCTGAGCAGAGAAGGAAATGTAGTTACCGCTGAAGGGGTACTGAGTTTCTGTTTGGAGTGATGTAAAACTTTTGGAAATGGATAGTGGTAATGGCAGCACAACATAGTGAATGTAAATCAAAGTCACTGAATGGTACACTTAAAAATGGTTAACATGAAAAACTGTTATATATATTTCACTACAATATAACTTTTAAAAATGAATCAGTAAATAAATATTTTTAGGGTTTCTTGGTTTTAATTTCTTATATGATAAATAATGATAGATACTAGACATGCCAAGAATCAGGAAAATATGATCCATATCAAGAAGAAAAGTCAGTCAGTAGAAACAGACCCAGACATAACAGATGATGGAACTAGCAGAAAAGGATATTAAAGCAAGTATTGTAACTAAACGATGTTCAGATATTTAAAGGAAACATGAACATGAGAAATGGAAGATATAAAAAAAAAAAGAACCAAATGGAACTTCCAGAGATGAAAAGTAAAATATCTGAATGAAAATTTCACTGGTTGAGATTAAGCAGGTTAGATATTACAGAAGAAAAGATCAGTGAAGTTGCAGACAGTATGGGAGGCAGAACTTTCAGATGGCTCCCAAGATTCCCACCCTGTGGTATACATGCCCTGGATAATCCACTTCTCTTGAATGTGACTGAGACCTTGATTAGGTTACACTATATAACAAAGGTGATGAGGATTCACCACGATTACATTATATAAGACTCCATCATACTGGACTGGAGAGATATTCTCCTGTTGACTTTGAAGTAAAAGTGCCATGTTCTGAGAGGCCCATGTGGCTAGGGCCCGAAGGCTGCCTCTAGGAGCTGAGAACAAAACTTTGCCAACAGCCAGCGAGAAAATGGGTGACTTCAGTCCTATAGCTGCTGGGAACTAAATTCTGCCAATAATCAGTGAGTCTGGAAGAGGACCCTGAGCCTCAGATGAGACTGCAGCCCTAGACGACACCTTGATTTTAGCCTGATGATACCCTAAGCAGAGGACCGGGCTAACCATGCCTGGACTACTGACTCACAGAAACTGTGAAATAATCAATTTGTGTTGTTTCAAGCTGCTAGGTTTGTGGCAATTTGTTACATAACAATAAAAAATATACACAGAAACCGAATCTATCCAAAATGAAGCACAGAAACAGAATAGGCTAGAAAGAAAAACAAATGGAGTTTCAGTACCTGTGGGACAGTATCAAACTGTTTAACATTCACGTAATTGGAATCCCTAAGGGGGTGAGGGCAGAAAAATATTTGAAGAAATAAAGACTGAAATTTTTTCCAAGTCTGATGAAAATTATACTCTAACAGACCTAAGAAGCTCAACAAACCCAAGCAGGATGACAACACATACACACACTCTCTCTCATATATACACACATACCAATATAAACCAGAATCAAATTACTGAAAAACCAGTAATAAACGCAACAATCACCATGAACAGAAGGACAAAGAAAAGACCATTAAAACCTTCATAAAAAACTATGTAAGAAAGAAGACAAAGGACTGATTCCTTTAACGTGCTGAACAATGCACCCTCGGGGTAGAGCGGCAATGAATACCTCCTGGGGGCAGCAGGGGCAGCAGCCGGTGCAGCAGAACGTGCCCATCCTGACAGTGCTTGTGCTGCGAGATGTGGCACTCTGTGCTGAGCGTTCAAAGCTCTATTCTCCTCAACCTGAATGGAGCTGGGCTGTGGTGCTGGCTGAGGTCCTGGCTTCTGTCCAGTTTTCCTTGTTCTTTCCCTGGGTCTAAACCTGGTCCTGTACCTTCTAGGTGTCTCTTGGGGGTACCCAAATAGCTTTTCAATAAATTCTCTTTCTGTGTAGATCAGGCAAATTGGTTTCTGTAGCATGCAACTAAGAACTCTTAAAACCAGGAAAAAATCTTTTATTTTCTACTCATATTATTTTCTTTTCACTATTTCAGTATGGTAGGGGGTTGGGGTCAGGTTAAGCTCTACTTTTTCTAAAGGAGGCAATGGGTAGAAGTGGAGAAACAGGAGTGGGCTAGGCGTCTTACTTTACCTTTGCGAATGTTGGTGCTTATGTACTCTTGGTCTCTTTGTTTCCCTTTCCACCTGGAAAGAAAGCACATCATTCATGAACCTCACAGGCTTCTTTGAAAAAAGGCAATAATTCAAGGCAGTGGCCTGGAAAGAAACATTACCAAGCCAAATTCTCATTTAAGCAGAGGGTTTATGCTTCCCCCCTTTAAAGGATAAGTCACAAATCAAGAAATGACAAGCCATGATGGGGTCTAAACTACCACACTCGCCTCAGGCTAACCTTCCTCAACCAGGATGTTCCCTTTTCACCTCGAACCTTGAAATCCTGTAGGACTTTCCCTGAAATGTCTCTCAAATGTAATTTTCCTGGACAGATAAAAAGACTATGACCCAGAAAGGGGCAGTTGTTTTCCCAGGGTCACTCAACAACTAAGGGGTAAAGCCAGAGCTAAAACCCAGGCTTCCCAGTTGGTGAACTTGCTCTTTGCACAGCACTTCGCTATATTCAGTCTCATGTAACATGGGACTATGGAGGTACTTGTTCCGGACAACCTTCAACTCCCCCTCTCTTCCAACAGCTATACATTGAACCCATGGTAAGTAGCATTGACTAAGCTTTAGTGAGAGTCTTTATCCTTAAAATATTTTCTAATGTTGGGGAGAAGGCAGAGGAGTGAGGATAGCAGGCGGCATGAGAAGAAACAAGAAATTCAGATTATAAACCCCATCTTCCTGAGAATTTGCCCAAGTGGGATTACAAAAAGAATGTAACTCTTTTTTTCCCCCTCAACTTTCTATAAAAACCATTTGTTATTTTTATTTTGGGAAATAAATCATTTAAAATATATAAATATATACTTACCAGTGAAAATAAAATATGGAAAAAATTAAAATTGCAGAAATACCATCTATGAGAAGCCATATGAACATATAGTACCTTGGTGTCTGTAAAACATGAAACAAATCACAGTTAAAGCACTTTGCCATTGGATGGGATTTTAGATCATGTGGGCCAAGTCCCTTGCTCTGCTACAAGGGCTAGGAGAGGGACAGAAGGGGCATTAGACCAGGTAGAGGAGCACTGATTAACATGGTGGTCTCAAACACAGACAGCACCTGCTGCCATCCTAAGACTTACCCCTTACACATGCAGGGAGCCCTACAAGGGACAAAACACTTCATACCCTTTATCTCCCTGGACCCTCAAGACAGAGGTCTGAGAAAGTCACTTCACAGAAATCTTTCCTATTATACAGATGTGAAGCTGGGTCCTAAAAAAGTCCCATCGCAAGTCTGTTCTGGACCAGGACTAGAGCCCAGGTTTCCTGACTTCCATTCCTCTGTGTTTTCATGGCATATGTTCCCAAACATAGCTGTCCAAATCTACCTGGGCAGCTTTTAGTAATACAGGTTCCTGGGTCTCACTACAGACCTAAGGAATCAGAATCTCTGCATTTTTAACAAGCTCCCCAGATGATGCCAAAGCAACTAGTCTGTGAACCAGCATTTGGGAACCACTGTTCTAAATTATCATGCTTCAAATAAATACGTTGAAATTATAATCTCCCCTTACCTTACATGCCCCCTTCTCCATGCTCCTTGCCCGAATCACGCAATTCCTAATAGTCCTATCTCCTGGATCCTTCTGTGTTGAGTTTTACAATTCCCTCATTTGATCCTCCCTTTCCAGCTCCAACGTTCCCCTCCAATTTCACTAGATACCACTGGGGCTGGCACATTTTATTATTTCTCAGGTCACTCTCCACCCTGTCTCGAGGTCTTTCCTTGGTCTGAATAATAATATTAATAACACTAATGATCGTGATAATAATGATAACAACTAACATTTAATGAGTATTTATTAGGAGCCAGGCAAGTGTTCTAAGAACTTTGAGGGTATTTTTATATCCTTGCAACAGCCCTATGAGGCAGGTATAATAGAAGCTCTTAATGAACCTCCTCTAAACCAAGGCTCTTAATTCCCTCTGACTGACACCTTGGCCTACTGACTGCTCAGGACACCCACTAGGTGAGCAGTATGTTCACCAAGAATCAGTTGCCCTTGTCTTCAAATGGCTTAGCTGGGTCAGTAGTACTTATTACTGTAATTGTGCAATGTAATTAAATATGGCTTAAATCTACAAAATCTAAGTGAAAAAAAAAAGTATGCTGTTTTCAAGAAAATTAAGTCAAATGCTTTGAAAAATTCAGTGAAGACAGAATAGGTCACTATAAAAAACTGAAATTGAATTAGGTGTGGGTGGAATACTGTAAGAGACTGGGATGGGGGAATTATAAAAAACTAGTATGAATTCCTCATTCACATTTTTTTTTTTCTCCCAAAGACCTTCTTATTCCCCTTTAAAGGAACAAAAATTAGAAATCGGAGCTGGTTCATTTGGTGTTTAAATAAGCAAGAGAACACAGAATTCAATCAGCTGAAGTATCCTCAAAGAAAAGACCTTGACTCTGTATCAAAAGGTGAATTAATGAATATTTAAAATTAAAATGTGTAAGGCATGTGTGTGGTAGACTGTTTACAAAAACAACCACACTATTCCTCCCAAGCCTATATGCAGGCTTCTTGGCAATGTGACTTTGCCGCTCCTCACCATCACGAGGTGCTGTTTCTCCCTCACCTTGAATGTGGACTTGGCCATGTGATTTTCTTTGGCCAATCAGGCATTAGGAAACATAACACTGAGAGAACCTAGAAAAGTGTGTAGGCATTGGGGCTTGCCTTCCCTTGAGGCTGGGAACCCTCTGCCACTAGGTGAACACACCCAGGCTAGCCTCCTTGAGGGTTCGAGACCACATGGAGAGAGACCCAGTCATCCTGGCTGTCCCAGCCATCCTGGAGAGACTCCAGACATATGAATGAGGCCATCCTAGACCATCCAGCCCAGCGACACTGGCTCAGAACAGAGGAACTACTCAGCCATCATACAGAATTATGAGAAATTATACACTTTGTCTGTTTTAAGCCACTAAGTTCTGAGGGGTTTTTTTTTTTTCAAAGCAGTAATAGCTAACTGATAGTGTATATATCTTTTTTTTTAATTTTTTTTTTTTTATGAATCCCTGCTTCAACTAACTTTTTCAATTAACACACCAATGATCAGTCCAATTGAGTTGGATGAAAGTACTTCTATTGGACTTTTATTTTCTCTAATTTACGGAACAACATACTGAGACATAAACAGGTTAACTAACATTTCCAAGTTCACAGTATAAGTAGCGGGGCCAAGATCTGAATCTGCACAGTCTGACTCCAGAGTGTGAGATGTTGGCCCCACCTCCCTGAACCAGTGACACACCAGCAAAAGCCAGGAACTGTATATTGGGCCCTTAAAAAAGCCTTGGCCAGGTGCAGAAGGAAGATTTTCCACTTGTATCTTTTTATAATTTTTGAATTCTGAAACACATGAATTAATTTCCAATTCCAATATTAAAAAGAAAAAAAATGCTTTCAGCAACAGTGGTAGCATTTAAGTAAATGTGTAGCCTCCAAAGGAGACAACTTCGAACGAGACATTACTGATTTGAGGGAATGGGATTATGGAGAAGTGTGTTGCTTTCAAAATTATGCATTTTTGTTTAATGATTGAATTTTATACAATGAACAAACTTACTTTTATAACCCATTAAAAAGAGCAAAAAGTTAGAAAAATATATACTAATTCTAAATAATAATATAAAAAAATCTCTGACCACAGACCCTACCTACTGGAGTTGGGTTGAACACACATTTTTGCCTCCAGTCCTGATTTCCAGCCTTGACTGGTCCCTGTCCTGGGCTCTCACCCACAACTCACATTTTACTAAGTACTCAGAATAATAGCACTATAACTCATAATATTTCATTTAATTCTGACACAGAAAACCTGCAAGGTGGACTTTGTTGTCCCTGCTTTACAGTAAGTAGTAAGAGGATGTTAAAGTGGGACTCTTTCTTGCTGTGTTTCAAGTAAGGCTCCACAGGTCAGGACAGAAAAAGGGATGCCAAGAAGCCCGTGTTCCAAAGTGAGGGGCTAGGCCACCTCCACAGGCCTGTGCTGTAGTTCCTGTGGAGGATTTCTTAGAGTTTTCTACATGTTGTGCTCCCCATCCTACCCTTGGGTGATGGGAGCAGGTTGCTTCCCTCTCACCTCAGGTCAACTAAGAAGAACTTCCAGGAGACTGCCTGGAGAGCCCCTGGCCTGTGTTTCCTAGAATTTCAGCCTAAAGCATCTGGGCAAAAAGGGAAAGATGGCTGTACTTTCCGGACTTGGAGGTTGGGGCTATGATTAAAGGAGTGATGTGACTCCTGTAAAAGGAGTTTGGGTGGGATAAACTGCAGAATCCTAGAGGGCTGAGAGGGGAGTTATATGCGGACAGGTGGGTGAGGAAGCTTTACCTGGGCCAAGACACCTGCCATCCAAGGTTCCCTGCAGGTCATCTCCAGAAACCCATGCAAAACCACCAGAGAAAAAAAGCGCTCAGAGATGTTACATCTGCCACCAGAGGGCCTTGCTGCAGTATGGGCCCTGAGATGGTGCTCTTCACCCTGATCCCCTCTACCCTGGTCCTGACCCATGACAGGTCAGGGGGATTAGGGAGGTAGGAGAAGGGAGAAGGAAACCAGGGACTGCTCCCCACTGAAGGCAGGCTTCTCTGCCTAAAGCTTTTACTTCATGGCAGTTTATGGGTTATTACTCTAGACCAGGCACTTTAATTCCGAAATGAGGCTTTTTTTGTGACCAGAAGTAAACATTAAAAAATTATCTAAGAGTGACTAGAAAAGCTATGGGACCTAAGGGATATTGCATTCAGGGGAGGGAAAGGCCTAGCTCACAAAGCAGCTTTTAAAAGTCAATGAGGAGAATTTAAACTGTTTCCTACTTGTATGCTATTGTGTCCCACCTGGTCAATCTACTCTCTACCCAAACAAGCTAAAAGGACTCTGTAGCAGTTAACTGGTTAGCTGGGGCTCCCTCCACTGATAATTACTGGTGGGATTTAGCTGGTATTATAACCCAGCTCCTTCAGGTCCCCAAGCCTCTGGCAATGAGCAGTAGTAGGGTCAGAAGGGAAAACCAAGTTAGGTGACTAGACACTGGCTTCCTTCTTCAGAAGTGTTTTGTTCAGTATACACAGTTTTTACATCAATGGAACAGAGTACAAACCCAAAAATAGACCCACACAAATATGCCCAAATGATTTTTGACAGAGGTACAAAACCAAATTGTGATAGTCAGTTTTCACTTTTGTTGGTACACTTGGTTTTCTCCCCATACTCCATGCCGTTATTCACTGTTGCCATGCCTTTAGGAAAGTAACAAAGTCTGGAGTCAGACCTCATTCTAAATCCCATATCATGTGACCTTGCACAAGGATCTTAGTATCTATGAGCTTCAATTTCCTCATGGGAATGATAACAGTAGCTAACTCAGAGGATTATATTATATAATGCATCTAAAGTATGTTATAAGGATTCAATAAATAGCAATAATTGTAACAATACTAATTAATCTCTCCCTGAAAATCACAGAAGGATCTAGGTGAGAGAAGGGAAAATGGTATATCTCCAATACCAAAGAAATCTCTACTCTCAAATAGCTCCCTGGTGGACCGCACAGTGGGCAATGTAGGGTGAGGTGGGAGGACACAGATCCCTATTTTACCAGGCTTGGAAGAACAATATGGACAACCAACTCACCATGAAGAAGTAAGGGTGATCAATCTCACTCAGGAGCTTAATGTTGTCTGTGGTAACTGAATGAATTCTGGAGCACCAGGCCAATGAGAAGAGCCAAGGCTTATTGACGATATATAAGTTGATGGTGATGTTAGCTTCTTTATAAACTCTGAAATAAAAACAGAACCCACAGGGGATTTAGATCTAGTCTCACTCTCATCAAAGGCTGTTGCCTGAATCACCAGAAGCAGTGGGTCCTGGGATGACTTATGATGGGACATGACAGAATAGGCTCACACTGTAGTGGGATAAAGGATTGAATCTAGTGCCTCTGCTCCCTTAGCAGCAATGGTGTGCTGCTAAACCGGATCTCCTAAGGGGTGGG